CCCTGGTGCGGAGAGTGAAAACAGATTCAATGAGCTCTCTTGTAACAACAGCCGTGGTGTTTTGTTCTGTATGCTGGAGGGAGGGAGGAGGTGCCTTAAAATATTTGTTCAGGGTGTCTTTGGGCTTACAAAGTGCAGATAGGACTGAAAGAGCAATGCAAGGATTCGTTGTGTGGAAGACTTTGTGTATATTTACAGCTGGAAGAAAACTTGTAGTAAAGAAATGAATAGAAAAGTCCACCATGTCTAAAGAAAAGGTTCTGAGGCTGAAGAGGAATTTATTGGTACTGTGAGGTTTTTATGCTGCCAGATGGAAATGAAGATGGATGGAAGGAAGGTCAAAGTAAATAACTCCAGAAAAATTTGAAATAAGAAAAAGAGAGAAGGGTCAGGGATGGAATCAAAAGAAAGAATAGTCGGGAGGAATGCACTGGGAAAATGAAGAGATTTATGAATAAGGAAATAAGGCAGGAGTGGATAGAGAATGAAGGGAACAAAGGAAAGAAGGATGGAAGGAAAGGAAGAAAGCAGGACAGGCCTTTTTTTTTAGGAGGCATCTGTTTCTTCTACCCACGCTACCTGGGAAAAGAACAAGTGAGGCTCATTGTCATTCCTGACTCATCCTGAATTCGTTCTTTCGGGTGAGGGCTACTGCAGTGTGTCTTGGTGTATGGGAGGAAAAGTCGACAGTGCTACCAGAGCAGCATTGTTTGAGAGAGAGTACGAGCGCCTTGGGGCAACACTGGAGTGTTTTGTTAGGGTTGAAGATTGAACAAGGGAACAAAATGGGGAATGTGTCCCATCTGCAATTTGCTGAAGAGATGGAGGGCTGAACGAGCGTGAAGCCCTCCCTGTGGCTTCTCCTGTAATGAAAGTTTTTGTTTATGTCCATCCGCTGGGCCAAAAGGAGCCGCTTCTCCAAACAAGATAAGTCTCGGCTCCAACCGCTGCTGTTCCTCCACCCCCCTAGACAGAGGTTTGTGTCACTGTGTCGTTTCTCTGGATGTAGCAGAGGAGGCCAGCTACTCAAAGGCCATTAGAACTGGTACGGAGTCGATTACATGGGGGCGGGAGGGCTTTTTGTTAGGAGGTGACTGCTCGACAAACCATCAACAATGCAGCCATACTTTCTTATCTGGTGCATCATATGCAAAGGAAATGTGCCTGTTGCTTTATGTCATTAACGATGTTTGACACTTGTGTATAAAACAACCGCTTTAGCAGTAGCTAATAAATAGGAATGCAGGTTTAATCTTTGCTTTGTTCTCTCAATGCCTGTTGCTCTTTTTTTTCTCTTTGTGTGTGTTGCAGTACCTGAACAGGGGGTGTACTCGGTTCTTCGCTACCAAAGAGACGGACAAAGAGATCCCGCAGAATCGCAAGAGCCCAGAGGTACAGTACACCGCAGAGTGACTCCATGTAGCTTGGTCGCTTTGTTTTCTGACCTATAACCTCAGAAGAAACCTAATGGACAGATTTCACACAGGAGCAGTCAATGGAAGAAAGAGACTGGTTTTAAAAGTGCCATAAAACTTTCAGGTTACATCCTGAACGTCCACAGGAGAGTGGAGTTAAAACACTGCACATCTGCTGTATAGAGCAGCAAGTCCAGAGGAAGATGTCCGACAGAAACACTGCCAATGGTGTCTTTTTTCTGTCTGGGCTTGCTCCACTCTGTGCAGAAATATGGTACATTTTAGACCATTGTATCCAGGTTTGTTATTGATATTAGTGCAAGACAGACTGTTACACACAGAAGGCTTCTGATTAACAAGAAAACTACATCTGACTTTACTGTTCCTTAGCAAACTGCTGTGCTGTTTGCTCACTATCGCCACTTCAGCTTTACTTCAGTCTTTAGCTTTAGTGTTGTCACCATGTTGTGTTGACGCTTGAGCAAAATCTGCTCAAGTAGTCAGCAAAAGAGCCAGACTCGAGGCAGCTGCCGGCGTCAGCTGCTGTGCACAGCAGATGTGATGCAGTGGTTAACCTGTCAAGTAACATCTAAGAGTTTCTGTGGTCAGACCTGAGCCCAGACGCTACAGGCACTCGTCCTTAGTGCGACTTCAGGACCAAGTCAGTTGTTCTGATTTATTTTCTCAGTATGAACAACAGTAGCTCGCCCTTTCCTTTAAGCGGCTAATTGGATTACTTTGTAATTAATAAAAATTACTTCAGGGCTGCAACCTAAGCATGATTGTTATTAAACTGTCACAAACTAAAGAAAACTGCCCATCAAACGTTTGGAGAGCCCAGGGTGGCGTCTTCAGCTGTCTCTATACCGACAGCGTGAACCCTAACGACGTTCAGTTTACTGTCAGATGTGACAAAGAAAAGCAGCTGGAGATGGCAAATGTTTCTACATGAAATGCTCCCAATCACATAAACAGTTGTGAGTTAATGTTATGTCGCCCAACTGGTGGAATTGTTCCAGTGCTGAAACATCCAGTAGCTACTTGAGGAGCCTCGTGGAGCTGCAGCGTGCTCCTTTGCTACTTCGAGCACAGCCATTTGTCGCTGCCCCGTGGGCTGGAAGGAAGAACAGCCGCTCTGTAAACTCCATCACTGCCTCGCGAAGCCTGACTCAGCACAGTCGTTTAGATTTAGCGCCTGCAGCTCCTGTGCAGGACAGTTTGCACCTCAGATTTACACTCCAGCGCCTCCTCTGCCATCGTTCTTCCCCCTCACGTCCTTGTGCTGTGTGCCCCCTATCACCACTCTACCGGCTCTTATCGGGTGTGACTCTGATTATGCCTGGGTGACGCCAGGTAATCCTCGCCTGTGGAAACTGTAGAAGGAAGATCCACTAGAACTGGACTCTTCTTTGTGCAGCTAGGAATTAGTTTTCATTCTTTTAATCAAATGATTATTTCTATTTCAACCACACAAGTCCAGAGGCATGAACAAGGCTGTGTTAAATTTACTATAGATCCAAATGTTATTTTGTGAGAGGGGAACATGTTCTTTCTTCCTTTAAAATGGACTCTGTCTCACCTGAAGGTTTCTTAAAAAGGAACTGTTCTCCTAAGAATGTCTCAGTTAACACAGAGGGATGTGAGTTGCCAGAGTTCAGGCTGAGGCACAGTGTGCAGGTGCTGATGGAGGACTCCGCTTGTGTTTTCTTGAGAACTTGTTCGCACTTGGACTTGATTTGCAGCAGTTTGTTGGCAAACAAGATGAAAACTCTTGTCCTTGAGCGGCTGAGGTGGAAAACTCAGACAACAAAGCAGAGAATGCTGTGGCAAAGCAACGTCTGAATGTGTGTGTTACTGCTGCAGCCACACTCGTGGAGTGTACGTCAGCAGCAGATTGTCTCGGCAATAAGCACCCGCGCTGAGGTTTCATCAGGGCTGTTGTGTTTCTGACCTGAAATTCCAGCTCTGCTTTTATATGTTCATAGTTATCTGAATGAGTTCTGATGAATATATTCAAACATTTTAATTAGCAGCCTGGCTGAAAGCCTCGGCACAGCACAATTCAGCCATCTCATGCACGGCATTAATAAGAAATCCTCATCATGTGAAGTGAGCTCCTTCCTTTGCCATCAGGCTTCGATTAATTATGAACGTTTTCCATTACTCTCTGTGTAAGTGGCGATTCCCACAGCACTGTTAATTATTATAGCTTTTAAAAGAAAGACAGACACGAGGTTGGTGCTCTGCTGGCCCCGCTGGAGATGCTGGATAATGGATTCACAAATCCAATTATAGATTTGTAATTATCACCGTCTCTGAAACAGAAGATCTGATCTGTAAGTCTTCATTTGCTTAAATATTTATATGCATCTTAAATCTTTCATTTGTTCCCACATAAACTAAAGAAGGAGAGGTGCTGGCTGTAGCTGTTGGAGCACTCCTGCACCACCACTGTCAACAAAACAGCACATCTGTTCTTTTCTTAATTAGGACACGCTAATATACAACACACTGACAGTGAGCAGTAGTAACTATCACGCTGTGCAAGCAAAAAGCTTCTGTTCTATACAGTAGATAGTTGTACAAGTAATATATTATGTAACGCAGTTGGAAACATAATTCAACACAACATAATGGAAAGTAGAGCAATACATATTTAGACACAGTTGAAACACAAATCATAACCTGGGGAAAAAGCACTATTAGGTTCAGAAAAAAATATTATCTATAGTTAACAAAATAACATTAACTCCAGGTAACGCAGCATCTAATGTAATGCATGTCTGTCTTACACAGGCAGCAACCTCCGAGTCAGTGAAGTCACATTGATTCCAGC